AAGTACAGCCTCACAGGACTGAGACTGCCCCAAGCACAGACAATCATTTCATGAGAACTGAGTACCCCACAAGCTGTCAGGATCCCCCAGTGCTACCACACAAGACTGAGATAATGATCAACTGAATCCCCACCCTCCCATGCACCCTGTATGGTCACTATTCTCTTGTGAAGGGGTCAGTCAAATGACCTCTTTTGTACCTGTGCACCTTTCAGTTCCTCAAAAGGAAGCCTTTTTCTATCTTCTCTTATTTTCCTTTAAGGGACCAATTTGATCTTTGTCTAAGCTGTGCTCCTCTTTATTTTCTCTTATTTTCCCATTAAAACTTTTGCCTCTAAATTAATACTGCTGCTTTAATTTTCATTCCCATTAAAGCAAGGACCCATGGTAACCAATGATGTTGGGATGCTAGAAGCCAGGCCTTTGGTTTAAGACTCAGGTAACAAACACTTAAGCAGAGTCATGAGCCTGAAGCAGAGTCATGTGGCAAACACAAATACATGTGGCTGAATATATACAAAGATATAAGCCAAGAGGAGATAAGCAAGTTTCATGAAATGTCATGTGCTGAAATATACAGAGGACTGGACTGAGGAAGATAAGAATCCCGATCCCAGCTGTGATTATTCTCATCTATTCCTGACTCCTGAGTTGGTCGGGACACATTCTGCTTCCAGTTTATGTAACAATCTGTGCATTCCTGGGAGCTGAAGTCTTTATACTGTCCTTTCTGGGGTAAGTCACATCACAGTGGCCTGTGTGCCAAGCAGAGTTCACCAGATTAGGAAACTTGAGAGAGAGGGCAAGTAGGAGAACTCGTCTTCACTCCCAAAATAATGGCATCAAGCACTGCTTAAAGGTCTTGCCTTGTCATACTGTTACCACAGCAATCAAATTTCAACATGAAGTTTGGCGGGGACATTCAAGCCACAGCTGTACCTCTAAAGGACTTTTCACTGTTGACGAAGTCAAATTTATTTTTTGGTTTCCACCCAAGGTTCCTGGCTCATAACTCTGACCTACTTTGACAGTAGTAGATCAAGATAGTGAGGACCCACCCCTCCCCATTCTAGAGGGGTCCTGCCCACACTCTGCAGGGAGGCATGCTGCCTGGAGAGGCCGAGACTGCCAAGCAGACAGGTCTGGCTGGGTTTCCCACCCAGTCTATCAGCAATGAAGCCTCCAGAAACACCCAGGCAGACAGGGTTCACTCTTCATCTGTACCTTTGTGCTGTCCTTTATAATGGCCTGGTACGTTTCTTTGAGTTCTGTGGCTGCTTAAGCAAATTAATTGTATTTGACATGGGAGTTGTGGGCGCCCCAGTTTATACTAGTTGGCCAAAAGCAAAGCTAAAAACGATCTAGGACTTTCAACAGGAATGGATCCAAAGCAGGGATGGCAGTCTTGGGGACTAAGCTGTCAGCCTGTGGGATCTGACACTGCCTGCAGGTAGAGCTAGAACTGAAATGGATTGGAAGGCACGCAGCAGTGTCCACTGTGGAACTCTGCTTGGTACATATGGGAAATCCCCATTCACCCGGCCTCAGAAGGGATCTGGGTGTGTGCAGGAGGAGCAGCTGGGTCTGACTTGGCTTTCCCCTTTCTATCCTCCAGTGTCATTCCTAAAAACCATAATTTTAACTCATATGATTTTTTCTTTCTAAGAGTTTGTTGTAGCTTTTATAATTTAGGTTTTTGATCCACTTTAAGATACTTTTTATAGATGATAAGGGTCTAACTTCATTCTTTTGCACATAAAGATACTCCAATATTAACATGAAGACTGTTCTTATCTCCATCAAACTGTCTCGGCACCCTGTCTAAAATCAATCTCATAAATGTATGAGATTTTTTCCTAAACTCTCCATGGATACTCTAACTGGTTTGTCACATTCACATCCTTCATCTGTCACATCCTCCTGCCAGTACCACGGTCTGTCCTTAAAAATTATTTTATTATTTATTACTACATGTTTGCAGTTCACACAGTTCACAATCATCTTGGAGAGTGGTTACAGGCACATACCATGGCTTGTTTCTTTTTTAATCCCCTTCCCCTTTCCCACCCTCCCCTCCTTCCTCCTTCAGTTCCCCATCCCATTTTTCACTCTTGTTGATATTACTGACCTTAGTTCATGTTACGGTATATGTTTACATTATTTGAGGTTATTAGGTTCCCATACCTGGCACATTTTTATTATTTCCCCTTCCCCTCCTCCTCACCCCTTACCCTTGGTCTCTTAGACCACTTTCCTATTGCAAGAGATCCATCTCCTTGTCCCTTCTACCCATCTTTATTATTCTCTTTGTGCTCTGCCTCACTCAAATGAGCGATACCATATGGTATTTAAGCATGTGTGTCTGGCTTACTTTACTCAACATTGTACTTTCCAGGTGCATCCGTTTTCCTACAAATGTCTCAAATATGTCATTCTTTATAGCAGAATAGTATTCCATTACATATAGACACATTTTCCTTATCCAATCATCTGTTAATGGGTATATAGGCTGTTCCCAGGATTATGAGTTGTGCTGCTGTGAACACTGGTATGCATGTACTGCTGTAGTAGGATGTCTTTAACTCTTTGGGGAAGATACCTAGCAGGGGGATCATTAAGTCATATGGAATTTCTAATTTCAGTATTTTGAGGAATCTCCATATTGATTTCCATAGCGGCTATACTAGTTTCCACCAATGAGGTGGGTTCCTTTTTCACCACAGCCTCACCAGCACTTGTTCTTGCTTGATTTCCTAATGATTGCCATTCTTTCTGGAGTAAGACAGAATCTTAGCATTGTTTTAATTTGCATTTTTCTGATGGCCAGAGATGTTGAGCAAAGTCTTGATCATTGTGAATTGTAAAACTGGGAGTTGTAAGTTTTCCAATTTTGTTCTTTTTCAAGATTGTTTTTACTATTCCTGGTCCCTTGCATTTCCATATGAACTTTAGGCCAGGCTTTTCATTTCCCTCAAAAGAGCAGCTGGGATACTGATAAGGACTGTATTGAATTTGTAGGTAAATCTGATGAATACTGTTATCTGAATATTAAGTCCTGCAATCCATGAATCGGAGATCTTTATTTAGGTCTTCTTTAATGTCTTTAGTATAGAAATTTTATACATTAAAAAACTTATCCCTATTTTAATATTTCTGATGCTATTCAAAGTTGAACTGTTGCTGGGGATGTAGCTCGTGGCACAAGCACCTGCCTGGCAAGCGCAAGATCCTGAGTTCGATCCCTGGGACAAAAAAAAAATTGAACTGTTTTCTTAATTTCTTTTTTTGCGTTGTTCACTGTTTATGCATTGAAAACAACTGATTTTATATGTTGATTGATCTTATATCCTACAATCCTGCTGAATTACTTTATTTATTCTAATAGTCTTTTTGTAGGTTCCTCAGGATTTTCTATACAGTTATGTCGCCTGCAAGTCATTTTACCTCTTCTTTTCCTGTCTGGATGCCTCCTGTTCCATCTTTGCCTAACTGCCCCAACTCAAACCTCTAGCGTAAAGTTGCATAGAGGTGGTCAGAGCATACATCTTTTTCTTGCTCCTGACAAGAGTAACTCAGGGAGTCATTTCCTAAACAAAACTTGGACATTATTAGAGTCTGAAGGAAAGGAATCAAAGGGCAAAGAGACTAAGGACATTCACAAGAGAGGGACACACTGACAGAGAAGGGTCTACGACAGGTGGGCAGAAACAGTCACTCCTTTGGGAGATGGAAGGTCACAAAGCATAGAGTACTGGTGAGCTGGGCCAAAGGCGGGAAGCTGCTCTTTATACCTAAGCACCCACCTCTCCTGGCAAATGCAGAGGTCATCTGCGAAGGGCCACAGGGAAGCCCAGCTGAAAAGTCTGCCCAGTGAGGGTCCAGACCTGCTTCCTGGCTCTTTGCTCTGAGAAGCATCACCAAGAGCCTGCTCCTGCCCCTAAGCTCTCTCTGCACCTTGTCCTGTTTATGCACTGGCACTACATGGGCACATCTGGAGGGTGAAATATACTGAAAACATAAACTGACTGAGGCACATGTCTTGATCTTGAAGTTGGGTGTTCGATATCTTTCTTCCTTGAAAGGGAGTGATGGAGACCACTTCGAAGTGGCTCTGAGAAGGATTTAATATTAACCACTTGGCTTTCCGTGTTTACTTGTGAGTTGTACAAAGCCTAGGCACCTTGTCTGGAGATGGCAGTGGACTCACAGTAAGTGAACCTCTATGAGTCACTGGTCCTGCTGAGGACTGCACTGGCTTGAGAGGACAAGATAAGGCCACAGCTGAGGATGTTTGGCTCCAACCTCAATTAACTAAAAGGAGACTGCAGCTGCAGGCTCCACATCCCTACAATAAAGGTCAGCCTAAAGATAAGGTAGTTCTGCTGACTGACATAATTTACTACTTGGGAAAATATTTCCCAAAGTCCTACTAGATTCCTGCATTTTCTTCATTATCCCCCTCCTTTGTTTGAAAACCAAATAAATACAGACTGCCCAGAGAAGTTCTTTGTCTTAGCCCCCAGAATCTCAAATTCTGTTAGAGAGTCTGGAACCTCTTGGAGCCCTGAAATCATTCCATTTGTATCATTTATTTAAGCCTTCACTGCCCACTCATTTGGGAGGCTGTGGGCCTGATCAGTTCACAATAACTAAGGGATATTATTAAAGCGATAAGCAGGGACGAGGCAAGACTAAGCCAATTCTTTTCTTGCTCTGCCCTCCTGAAGAGAAGACAGAGCCTCCCACCATGTCCAGTTTCCTTCATGGCTGTGCTTGGGACAAGAGCAAAACACCCTGCCTCACCACATAGCTAGAGGACCCTACCCCTTGTGGGAGCCCTGCGGGAAAACAGCCACTGCAAACAACAAAGGTGGTTTGGGCAGAGTTGGAGTTTATTTGCTGCAGTTCCTTGGCGCTAGTTTACAAGGCAAAAACAAATGAAAAAAAACCAACTGGAATAATAATTATAATTTTTTTAAAAACCCTGTCAACAACTTTCAGTCATTTCTTTATATTCTGTATTTTGACAAAATTTCTTTAAAACAAATACAAAATAATCTAAAAGAAAAAACTATACACGGATTATTTACATCTCTGATAAATACACAAATACTGATCCAGGTGCCTCTCTGTCTAGAAAACATCAGTGAGAACCACTGTGAGGGCCTGGGCCTGCTAGAGGGGCTCTGGCTGGCACTGCCCTGGTTCTCTGCTGGAAAGCTTGGGTTTCCAGCCTGGACTCGCTTCTATCACCTTCACAAGCTTTGGGTGAAGGTTTGAAGCCACTCCAGGAGGGACCTACAGGAAGGGGCCAGAATGCCAACCTTCCCCTGCCCCCCACCCTTCTGCAAAGCTATTTCCAGAGATGCTCCCTACCCTATGGAGTCAGAGGAGCCAGTCCACAGTACTGTGAGGACCAGGCTCCTCCGCACTGACCTGGACACATAGCGGGTATGCTGAGATGCCAGCCACCACCTGCTCTGCCTGACCATGTGGCAGGAGCTGCCCTTGAGAGTCCCTGAGAGAACGGCAGGAGAATGCTGCATTTCGTGGCTCCCTTCACACCGTACAGGAGGGGCAGCCCACTCACACACATGCTGCAGGGGAGAGGACAGAACATGATCTGACCTCTCATTCCACTGCCCCTGCTGAGTAGACCAGGCCCTGACCCCTGGAGGCCACCACACAGCGCACCAGAGGAGCCCCCTTAGGGCCCTTTTGAGGCAGAAAAGGCTGAAGCCCCACGGGGATCAGGTAAGACCTCCTCCTTCCTCTAGAACGAGGAGTGGAGTTTGGGGATGAGAAAGAAAAACCAGATAGGAACCAGTGAGATTACCCCAGACCTCTTGGGATAACCTCCTCACAGTTTTGGTTATTAGGTATTTAGCTCAAGGAAAATGCTGACTTTCTATTTAAAGCCCAGCAAGACCTGGGTTCTGAGGGAGAAAGATGTCGGAGGTGACCAGTCAGCCCCCTACCCTCCTCTCCCGGAGCCCCGCAGGCACTTGGGCGGGCGCTGCCCATACCACCCACTGCAGAGGCCTCCCTGCACTGCTGCACGGTGCCAGCCCTCTCGCCCAGATGGGCCACTGAGCAGCACTCCCAGGGAGGCAGTGGCTCGCTCCACCAGGAGAAGCCTGCGGCAGCCTGGGAGCCCTTATCCAGGGAGTCAGTCCCCAAACAGGTAGGGCAGCTGTGTTCTGTTTCTTTTTAGAAAACAAAAATAGATCTTTATAGTACGTGGCTTTGCTTCCTTTCCACCTCTCCTCTTACTGTATAATCATGTATCCATAGGAGTGTACGCAGTGCAGGGAGGAGGACCCCGCCAGGAAGTGACCTAGAGGTAAACAGGGCTCTCCCAGCTCTGCTGCAGACCTGCTGAGCGGAGGAGTGCAGCTGCCCTGTGTCAGATCTCCACTTGGGAGACAGAAAGGCTGAGCACCCGTGCTTGCAGGCATCAGTCCCCTTCCTAGTGACAACTGCCCACTCTTTCTCCCCTTAAAAAAATGCAAAAGCTGAAGCTAGTCTGTAGAACTCAGGCAGGGCTGGCCGAGGACCCCTCTGCTCTGCAGTGCTCATTAGTGGAGGTGCAGGAGAAAGGCTGCAGCTCTGTAAGCTGGACGACACCTTGGCAGTGTGCTCAGTGTCTCTTGGTGGAAGAGACCTTCTTTTTTCGTGCGGCAAGCATCTCGTAGAAAGGGTCCCTGCTGATGGCTGCTCTGGAGCACAGAAAATGGGAGAAAACAGAACAAGTAAGGGACAGAACTAGAAGACCTGGGTGTGCCCCACTCCACTCTTCCTGTCAGTGTCCTTAGCACTTGCTGTGTCCACACAGTGGCCGTGAAAGAGACGCACCAGACACGGGACAAGATGAGGCTTTTGCTTGCTTCAACCTCATACTACATGTTCTCATGGCTGTGTTCTAATGGCTGTGTTCTAATCCAGACCTTACCAGCCACACAATGGCAGGCCCAGCCAGATGGGTGGTGGCACCAGAGCCACCACATTCCTTGTGAGTTGACTGGGAACCTGTTCACCAGGGACAATGTCTCTACAGCTCTCAAGACGCATCAGAACAGGCGGTCAAAGCCTCGCCAACAACAGGATCACCACCAGAAGTGGCTTGCTGAGGGAATCTGCCACAGTACCTGCGACAGCTGTCACCCATGGGAGCTGCCAGAGGCCAAGCAGTGTATCAGCCTGCCTCCTGCACGAGCTCATTTCATCTGCTCAACAGCCCCAGGAAATGGGGATCCCTCCTCACAGAGAGGCTGTGGTGCCCTTCTCAGGGAGACAGCAGGGACCCCATGTACCACCACAAATTAGTCTGGAGCCCCATCCACCCAAAGGAGACACAAAAGGGGCAAATTTAAAAGCTAGAACTGCAGGTATGGGAGAGAAGAGAGAGTCGTGGTCTGGTGAATCATATGGTACTTACTTAATGCATTTAATCCACTCTTCCTTCTCTTCGGGTGTAGGGGCTGAAATCCGGTACACAGTGTGGTTTCCTTCTACCACTCGCCCATCGGCCTCAGTCTTACAGGCTTTGATTACTTGGTCTTTATTGTCAGGGATGTAGAGCTCAAAGCAGTTCTGTGATTAAAAAGGAAAAAACAGTGACAGATCTTAGAAAGCTGCTGCTCAAGGTCATATTAATTTATTTCCCAGAAAACTCTATTCTGACCATCATAAAATACAGGTAATATATATTTTCCTATAGAAAAGAGAAGGTGGAGGAGTAAAGGTGTGTCACACAGCTGTGGTCCCAGCATTGGTGCAGGACAAGAGCACCTAGACAGAGGCTGGGAAAGGCTTCCATGAGTTGCTGGCACTAGAACCAAGGCGGAGGGGGCGGGAGCCAGGTGAGAAGCAAGGGGAAGGGAGCAACCTTTGCAGAGTGACAGACAGATCTTAGAAAGCTGATCTTACATGGCATAGGCCTCTCAGCAAAGACCAGCTGGCCCCACAGAGGTCAGCTCCATTCCTGACAGGAAATATGGTTATTCACTGCCTCTTAAACCCAACCTAGAAACATTAGAGCATTCCCAGCAAAGGAAAAGTGTTTACAAGGTGTCCTGAGGATAAAAAGTAACCAGTTCAGTCATGAGCACTTGTTGCTGCCATTTTAAGGAGGGTCAGTCTCTGACCCTCTTGCATGAGGGTCCCTCATGCAAGTGATACTGAAGCAGAGCGACAGAGCAGAAGAGGTTATCAGAGTCTCATCTTTGGCTTGAACCCTAAAGATAATTTAAAAAGTTAGCCTAAACCAAAGGCATGATAGTACTTTTCAACTTGTGTTTTTTAAAGAAAGTC